AGCAACTAACTGCGTTCGTGACACTCGAGGGTGTTTTTGAGTATCAAGTGTTACCGTTCGGCTTGCATAATGCCCCTGCCACGTTCCAGAGACTCATGAACTCTTTGCTCGCTAATGTACCAAATTGTTGGGCATATTTAGATGATATCGTGCTCTTTGACAGTAATTGGGCTGACCACATAGCTAGGTTACGCCAGTTGTTCACAATTTTAAAGAACGCAAATCTAACCTTAAACGCAAAAAAGTGTCATTTTGGCCAAGGCACAGTGATATACCTCGGTTATGAAGTGGGCCGAAGAAAAGTGTTACCTCGGCAAGATAAAATCAGTGCCATTCTGGAGTATCCAGTGCTAAAGTCTAAAAAGGACGTTCAAAGATTTATCGGTATGTGTGCGTACTATCGACGCTTTTGTCAGAACTTTTCCAGTGTTGCCACTCCTCTCACAGACTTGTTGCGAAAGGCCGTTAAATTTAAGTGTCATCAGACTGTGTAGAGGCATTTAAAAATTTGAAATTGATCTTAGCTTCCGCCCCAGTGCTTGCTAGTCCAAGGTTCGACCGACCGTTTAAAATTCATGTTGACACGTCTGACTCGGGTGCTGGTGCAGTGTTGTTGCAAACTGGGGATGATCAGGTGGAACACCCAGTATATTATTACTCTGAAATTTGACAAGGCGCAGCGCAATTATTCAGTGGTAGAAAAAGAGGCGTTGGCGCTAGTGTTAACATGTAAAAAGTTTGAAGTTTACCTCACAGGTAATATAGTGGAAGTGTACACGGACCATAACCCACTAGTCTTCCTGACTCAGATGAAGGGGAAGAATAAACGCATCCTCAGGTGGGCATTGTACCTACAGGACTTCAAACTGTCTATTATCCACCTACCGGGCCGGCTCAACGTAATGGTCAACGCTCTGTCCCGGTTGCCTGAATAACATTCATCTGGGCCACAGGAAACCATTTACCAACTGTCATGCTTTAGTAATTTTTTTTTTAGGTTCTCCTATGACATTAAATATGCCGTGTCCAATTTATTTACTTCCCTGTTTTTTTTGTGTATGTGTTTTTTTTTCAGAGAATTCCCTTGTACTTTTCTTGCAGAGAAATTGTTGTTTTTGACTTATTTTTTTTGCCATAGATTTTCCTTTTTATTCTCTGTATACTCTTACAAAAAAATATGACTACTATTCTAGTAGTCACATTTTTTTTTTTCTGAAGGGGGGAGGAGTGTTACAACCCTGGGTTCCTCAGTGGAAACCAGAGGTCAAAATTGAGCTATTAAACTTTCTTATAGTATAGTTGGACGCATCACGAGCTGTGATTGTTTGTATCTTCCCTGCCAGACGTAAGACAATTCATGTTTCTCAAAGAGCATTTAAAGACTGAGCTTGGGGTTGATGATTAAATAATAACATAGGCACCAACTATGTTTACTAATACTTTCTAATCATTTGTAAATTAAACCTGAGTAAACTGGGTATAGGGCTGCGGTACGATTAGTTGAGCAGTCTGCCGGCAGCGAGCCAGCTGGGGGAAAGGAGACTGAGAGTTCCTTTCTCTGAGCTGGCGTGGTGTGGACAGGATCCTCCTACCCTTCCTCCTCATTTCCTTATTTCTGTGTCTTGTTCAAGCTAAGTATACACTGTGTACATTATTCAATCTCTGGCATACACGTGTTCTATGTGTAGAGTAGTATACTTTGTGTGTAGTAGGTGTTTTTAGAGTTTATATTATTAGTTATTCAAAAGGGGGTCCCAGTGGAACCACGTGGTCTCCCTACCCTAAGCGGACTCTAGCTTCAAGTGTTTCCCTAGTAGAACTTTACCCTAGCTTGTGTTCAGTGTAAACCTTGTATCCTGCTTAGGTGGAACAAGGCTTTTAACGTAAGATAGTGTGGTAAAGTAATTATTATTTTTGTTATTGGTGTGAATGTATATGGGAGCTTGTTAAGGGGTTAATAAATAAGTGAAGTAAGAGAGTATCAGTTCTTCCTGTGTAGATCTTAAATCAACCTCTAGACTGACCTTGTGTGTAGCCAAGTATTCAGCACTGCTTATAGTTTTATTTGGGGGCCGGGCCTTTTAGATCTCCCATTTTGATAACTCTTAATGCTTGCTATTGCCCCTACATCCAGATAATACTAGGCCCCATAGTACAGACACTCCATTATTTAACAGGAACACAGATGGAAGCTGAGTACCCAAATGAGACATTAGAAAGAACTTTTTCAGTGTCAGAGTAGTTACTAAATGGAATGCATTAGGCAGTGTTGTGGTGGAGGCTGACTCCATACACAGTTTCAAATGTAGATATGATGGAGCCCAGTAGGCTCAGGAACCTGTACACCAGCTGATTGACGGTTGAAAGGCGGAACCAAAGAGCCAAAGCTCAACCCCCACAAGCATTACTAGGCGAGTACACTCAAACCTTGATAAAGCACTCAGGAGAGTGTGAAAGACTTAGTGTAAAACAACATCAAATACCATATGTACTATTGACAATGATATTGATATAATCATATCCTGAGAGTTTATTGTGATTAACTTCATTTATTTGTGATCAACTATAGTGATTAATGGTAATTACAGATCATTTATTGGGAATACTGAGTGATTGATCATGGAGATCGTTTACGGTAACAAAACAGAGGAAAAGTAGCGTCGATTATTTAGGCTACAAATGTTGAATAGCCTGGTCACTGAGTAGCCTGATCACTGAGTAGCCTGGTCACTGAGTAGCCTGGTCACTGAGTAGCCTGGTCACTGAGTAGCCTGGTCACTGTGTAGCCTGGTCACTGAGTAGCCTGGTCACTGAGTAGCCTGGTCACTGCGTAGCCTGGTCACTGCGTAGCCTGGTCACTGCGTAGCCTGGTCACTGCGTAGCCTGGTCACTGAGTAGTCTGGTCACTGAGTAGCCTGGTCACTGAGTAGCCTGGTTACTGAGTAGCCTGGTCACTGAGTAGCCTGGTCACTGCATAGCCTGGTCACTGCGTAGCCTGGTCACTGCGTAGCCTGGTCACTGCATAGCCTGGTCACTGCGTAGCCTGGTCACTGAGTGGCCTGGTCACTGAGTAGCCTGGTCACTGAGTAGCCTGGTCATTGAGTAGCCTGGTCATTGAGTAGCCTGGTCATTGAGTAGCCTGGTCATTGAGTAGCCTGGTCATTGAGTAGCCTGGTCATCCAGTAGCCTGGTCATTGAGTAGCCTGGTCATTGAGTAGCCTGGTCACTGAGTAGCCTGGTCACTGAGTAGCCTGGTCACTGAGTAGCCTGGTCACTGAGTAGCCTGGTCACTGAGTAGCCTGGTCACTGAGTAGCCTGGTCACTGAGTAGCCTGGTCACTGCGTAGCCTGGTCACTGAGTAGCCTGGTCACTGCGTAGCCTGGTCACTGAGTAGCCTGGTCACTGAGTAGCCTGGTCACTGCGTAGCCTGGTCACTGCGTAGCCTGGTCACTGCGTAGCCTGGTCACTGAGTAGCCTGGTCACTGAGTAGCCTGGTCACTGCGTAGCCTGGTCACTGCGTAGCCTGGTCACTGAGTAGCCTGGTCACTGAGTAGCCTGGTCACTGCGTAGCCTGGTCACTGCGTAGCCTGGTCACTGCGTAGCCTGGTCACTGAGTAGCCTGGTCACTGAGTAGCCTGGTCACTGCGTAGCCTGGTCACTGCGTAGCCTGGTCACTGCGTAGCCTGGTCACTGCGTAGCCTGGTCACTGAGTAGCCTGGTCACTGAGTAGCCTGGTCACTGCGTAGCCTGGTCACTGCGTAGCCTGGTCACTGCGTAGCCTGGTCACTGAGTAGCCTGGTCACTGAGTAGCCTGGTCACTGAGTAGCCTGGTCACTGAGTAGCCTGGTCACTGAGTAGCCTGGTCACTGAGTAGCCTGGTCACTGAGTAGCCTGGTCACTGAGTAGCCTGGTCACTGAGTAGCCTGGTCACTGAGTAGCCTGGTCACTGAGTAGCCTGGTCACTGCGTAGCCTGGTCACTGAGTAGCCTGGTCACTGAGTAGCCTGGTCACTGAGTAGCCTGGTCACTGAGTAGCCTGGTCACTGAGTAGCCTGGTCACTGAGTAGCCTGGTCACTGAGTAGCCTGGTCACTGCGTAGCCTGGTCACTGCGTAGCCTGGTCACTGCGTAGCCTGGTCACTGAGTAGCCTGGTCACTGAGTAGCCTGGTCACTGAGTAGCCTGGTCACTGAGTAGCCTGGTCACTGAGTAGCCTGGTCACTGCGTAGCCTGGTCACTGAGTAGCCTGGTCACTGAGTAGCCTGGTCACTGAGTAGCCTGGTCACTGAGTAGCCTGGTCACTGAGTAGCCTGGTCACTGAGTAGCCTGGTCACTGAGTAGCCTGGTCACTGCGTAGCCTGGTCACTGAGTAGCCTGGTCACTGCGTAGCCTGGTCACTGAGTAGCCTGGTCACTGAGTAGCCTGGTCACTGCGTAGCCTGGTCACTGAGTAGCCTGGTCACTGAGTAGCCTGGTCACTGAGTAGCCTTGTCACTGATACTACTTCCCCAATGTATAGAAAACAGGTTATGAAAACCTTGTAAATAAATATAAATATTTATTTCTAGTAAATTCGTATATATTGTACAGTGACTTTGTGTCCCTCTGTGGACCAAGTGTGTTGGTAAGAGATGTTTACAGGTGTGTGACCATAACAATAATTATACTATACTGCAGCTTCAAGAGGCATAGATGAGCAAGGTGTACATGAGGACAGTCTAGCACACGGAACTACACAAACAGCTACACAAACTCATAATTGGCCTGGGAGAACAACCCGTCCTCTTAAAAATAACACTTTTGGCTCGTATGCGCGCTATGACCAAAAGTGGACGTCATTTGAAATGAAATCAGCTCAGGAAAGTGACGTACTGTCCCGTTTTCTGTTTGAGTCGTCCGGCTTACTCTAAAAGGTTAGGAGAGGAAACTTTCAATTAACGTTTTTCATAACGTTTTGAAACTTATGCGAATTTCCTGCCCACCTAACCTATCAGAGGACCCTTATCTTACTGGTGTTGAAAAAAAATCTCAAATTTAATTTAATTTATTTTCATTTTCAAATTACGTCCACTTTCGGCCATACGGGCAAACGGCCAGAAGCGATGTTTTTTAAGAGGACAGGTTGGGGAGAAACCCTGCTCTGTAGTCGGGCAAAATCCTACAAAGATAGAGTGGGATGCCCTTATGGAACTAAACAATAGGACGGACATAGTGATTAAAGTAACCGACAAAGGGGCGACAATGGCAGTATGGGGAACGGAGAACTACAGGCGGGAAGGCCTCCGCCAACTAGATGCTCCCACAAACCATCTGATACAATTCTAGGAGAGGCAGTGGGAAACGCACAAGGAAAGAAGTCGGAACTCGGTACTGACAGTATACTCCAACACAAACGGTACAGAGGGACTCCTCACAGCAGCGGCCAGGGATGCATTCATAACATTTTCACATGCAATACCGCCACCATACGTCCTGCCAAAAATACATAAATCATTAAATCCAGATGCACACATGGTCAGGAAGGTCCATACTGAGTGGCTGTGGGGCGTCAACGTGGCCCATAGATCTGATATGCATGGCAATCTTCGTGCCGCTTTTGGGCCTCTTGCTGGAACGCCTGAAGGATGTTATGGACTTTCTGGCCAGATCACAAAACCACAGGGAACCTATTCCATTAGGGGCAAACCTTCATCCTCTGGACAGGGTGTCCTTGTACCCCAGCATTCCCCAGAGAGGCACGGTAGATTGCGACCTTTTTCGACACTCAAGGGACAAATCCAAGTAGAACTGCAGGAGGCATCATACAGGAGACCACCACCCAGAGCCCTGCTAGAAGAATGTATATTACACATCACACACGTTGCTACATTTCAGTGGGAGGGCTTACAGGCAAATCAAAAGCACAGCAGTAGACAGAAGCACCAGCATCTCAGTGGTGGAAACTTGCGTACAGAGAGTACGTGTTGGAAGAGCTCAGAGAACAGCACGCCCCCACAACCCCTCTACTACCCCACAACCACTGTATCTACTGCAGATACAGCGATGACGTTTTTGGCATGACAGCGAAGGAGGTGAACAAGACCTTCAGAATTTTTTTGACTCTTTTAATGGAGTTCATGGGAATTTTAATATTACATTAGAAAGCAGTGAAACGGAGCTGGCCTTCTTAAACACATATGTGTATCTAGATAACAACAATGGGGTGCGGATGGGGAGCCATATAAAAGTTCCAAGCTACATTTATGCCACTCACCATCATTCACACACTCCCTACTGTACTCACTGGCAATAAGGTTAAAAAGAACAGCGAGTGAGGGTAACAGACTTGAGAAGGTGCTAAATGATCTCTCGAGTTTCTTTTCTAAACGAAGATATCCGGACAGGATTCTCAGGAATGCAGAAAGGAAACTGGCATTAACGGAATGACAATCAGTAATTCATACAAATAACAAATGTAACAACATGATAGAGTGATAATACCAACATTGTACGCACCCACTTCGGCAGGGCCGATACGAAGGGAACTAAACATCCCATGAGAATGGATCAACAGGATATATGCAGAACACACAGCGCGGGTCTCCTCGAACAAAGCTTGGATGCTGGCATGGCGAAAAGGACAATTTTCAGCTTACATACCGGTGAGTTCACAATTCCCTATATCCAAAAGTGATAGGCCTAAGGACGAATAAAATAATTCTAAATATATCAAAAAAAGTTTCAAAAACTGTTGGCATTCTTTCTAAGATCAGATATTATGTACCCCGCCCTGCCCTGGTTACTCTCTATTACTCCCTCATCTATCCATACCTCAACTATGGTATTTGTGCTTGGGGTTCTACTACCCAAAATCATTTACGTCCTCTTATTACCCAACACAAAGCTGCTATTAGGACAATATCCAACTCTGGCCCCAGACATCACTCGGTACCCCTACTCAAATCTCTGAATATGTTAGATATTAAGTCACTGCACATTCTCTCTTGTGTATTATACATATATAAAATGCTGAACTGTAATGCCAATCCTGACCTCAAAAGCTTCATTGAAGGTTGTAACAGAACCCATGAGCACCACACCAGGAATAAATACAGTTTTGATATTCCAAGAGTACGACTTAATCAAACTAGAAATGCTCTACAAATCAAGGGACCCAGAATGTGGAATGACCTTCCCAACCATGTTAAAGACTGTACCTCTCTCAACCAGTTTAAGATAAAAACTAAACACTACCTAATAAATTCCCTGTAACCCACCTCACTCCTTTATTGTCAACCCATGTCTGTTATTTTATTATTATTATTTTTTTTAATCAACACTGTTTGTCAACCTATTGTATTTGTGCTGCTTTTTCAGTCATGTTCCCCCTTTTTTTTATCTTTATTTATATTTGTTTTCAACACTTTTTATTCTTTATGCTCAATTAGTATTAAGTTCTAGATATTAATGTTTTTCTTGCCCGAAACGCATTGCGTAATAGTGGCTTTAGGCATTGTATGTACTAGCTCTATCTATATATCAATCCATTAATGTAACATCACTTGTATGTATGTACCTTACCTGAATAAACATATTTATTTATTTATTTATTAATTACTTTCCCCAGGCAGCTATAAAGGTGCCATTTGTTTATCGGGAATTAGCTCAACGTGGTTGATACGTCTCGGTCTTAAACAGCACTCTGAAAAGGTCTTGGATTGTGTACTGTGGCAGTCGCTCGTCGGAAGTCTCTCCTTCTGAGTTCCCTGGAATCAAATAGTAAGGATATTATTCTCTGATTGATGTCCTATTTGATGTAATGATCATGAGAGCATTAATAAGTTTTCCAACCACACAAGAGTAGCAAGCCAACGTAGACCAGGAGTAGTAAGCCAACGTAGACCAGGAGTAGTAAGCCAACGTCGACCAGGAGTAGCAAGCCAACGTCGACCAGGAGTAGCAAGCCAACGTCGACCAGGAGTAGTAAGCCAACGTCGACCAGGAGTAGTAAGCCAACGTCGACCAGGAGTGCACACACGTGATGTCAAGGTCTGTTGAGCCTGCAGAGAGATCCATGCGACTACTCTAAAGGTTGGTGAAATGGCACGCCATGATGATGGTTATTTCTTAAAATGATGGGACTGCACGATGTATATACAGATGAAAGAGTACAGCACTTCCTTCCACCCTGGCAGATAGTACCTTTTGACATCCTGACCCCTGCATACCCCACCAAGAAACTACACAAACAACCCTCATGCTCAGCTTGCTGCTAAATTAAACACCATAGAACACATTCACAGTATACAAGCTGAAAACAACATAGCACAGACCATATACACTGACGGATCACTCAATACAGCTACAGGGAGGGTAGGAAGTGCTGTTATTGCTCATCAGCCCGATGGCAGCACAATTCAAAGGAATATACGAATTAGTAACTGGGCATCCACAATGCAAGCCGAGTTGGTAGCAATACTGGTAGCACTCGAAATTATTGACAATACTGAAGTAGACAGCTTAATTATTTCCGATTCCCTTTCCTCACTACGAGCAATAAACAGTTTGCAATCAAGTAATAACATGCTTGTCTTGGAAGCTAGACGTAGATATATAAGAATACTGAGCAAGAGGGTATATATAAAAATGTTGTGGATTCCTTCTCACATTGGCCTGCAGGAATATGACAAAGTTGACGCCCTTGCTAAGGCTGCATTAAATAAAGACAGCATTGAACGGAATCTTGAGTTATCAAATAGGTCCCTTAAAAGTGTCATTAGACAAGAACTACTGGATGGATTTGAAGAGAGTAGAACTGTGCAAACTGGAACTAGTAGGTTCATTGTTCATCGCAATGAAATGTGTGAAGTAAAACATGTGTATGGAGCAAGTAACAAAGTCAGTAAACTAACAGATGTTGTCACAGCTCGTATAAGACTTGGCTACAAGTATCTCTGGCAGTTCGTCTTGTATAGGGATCTAGATGAAGTAAAGTGTAAAGTGTGTGGACAAAGACAGGGACACACACTCAAACACTTTTTTTTTTTAGATATATACAAGAGTTGTTACATTCTTGTACAGCCACTAGTACTCGTAGCGTTTCGGGCAGGTCCCTGGAATACGATCCCAGCCGCGAAGAATCGTTTTTACAACCATGTACACATTTTACTGTTGAGTTAAACAGAGGCTACAGTTAAGGATTTGCGCCCAGTAAATCCTCCCCAGCCAGGATACGAACCCATGACAAAGCGTTCGCGGAACGCCAGGCGAGTGTCTTACCACTACACCACGGACACTAATATCTTGGATTGTAGTAAAATTGAGCCATTTAGAGATAAATCTAAGCTTACTCTGTATGCTATGGCAACCTATCATATTACCATGGATAAATTACCTGAAATCCTTGCACTGTATCCACATTTCGCTTCCAGTAGATAAACGACATATGAGATGAAGAAACAAGTAGTGTATTGTGAAGACTAATAATAAACAGAAGCTACCCTATGACTATCGTCATTGGTCAAACTATTATGTATGAGCGATAAGACCTACCATTAATGTATAATGACTTACTGTAAATGTAGAGCTCTTGAAATAGCACTTTCTCTGTAACTAGCTAACATTGTAACTATAAGGTGTGAAGGATAGATGAAATTGTTTATGTAATAATCTAAGATGAGGTCTGATAAAGACCTTTTGTGCCCTCTGTAATGCTTTTTGCACTACCGCTCACAGGATGGGTATGGGGTGCACAATAAACTAGCCGTCTCCGGCGGCAACAATCAAAATCTTAGTAATACTACGAAGTTGACTCCCATGACTGGTCTTCATTGTGGGTACTGATGTGGGTACTTTAAAACTGGTGTGGAGCAAGCTGAAGGTAGTTAACTATCTTGCAGTCCATAATAAACAAGAGGATCCAGGCTGGAGGGACACAGTGCCTCCTAGCCTCTGTGAAATTGTAATTTGTGTTCACCCAATGCAACAATATTACACATGTATAGTCACCATGATACATGCACACCAAACCTACCTCATAGATGTGTCATCACACATGCATATTGTGAATACTTTTTGGCTCTCAACTCGCTTCTAGACACAAAAGAAATCCGAGGCCAAGTGAGTCAACAAGCTCCTTGAGGCGATCTTCATCCTCCTGGGGAAGCGAGTCCTTGGTATAGACAGAAAGGCCACTAGTGGTGATGCCCTTCTGGTGGAGGCTTCGTGCTAGGCTCTCCACACCAACACCTGCAGACGGGAGAGCATAATGAGGCACACACCTGAGATATACAAGAGTTGTTACATTCTTGTACAGCCACTAGTACGCGTAGCGTTTCGGGCAGGTCCCTGGAATACGATCCCCGCCGCGAAGAATCGTTGTTACAACCAAGTACACATTTTACTGTTGAGTTAAACAGAGGCTACAGTTAAGGATTTTGAAGCCATGACAAAGCGCTCGCGGAACGCCAGGCGAGTGTCTTACCACTGCAACACGGAGACTGGTAGATCTGACTAACTAGTTAGACCTGACTAACTCACACAGCAAACGCTAGAATCAGCGAAATATAATTTGCTCTACTATCACGTGAGGCTAAACAGCCCCCTAGGCTATTCTTGAAGCATTACAACAAAACAAACTATTGTAATATAAAGACACTGAAGGTTTTAGCGTCAACTCTGAGGGATTCTAGTCTTCCACACACTCAAGATATCATAGTTATTAAGAATATACTTACTAGTGAGGTGAGTATCAGCGAAATCAATTTCAAAATAGAACCCTTTACTGGATTCGGGACACAGTTGACGAGCCAAGTCGCAGCACCAATCGATGTCAGGGCTGTCATCTGTGAGGCAGCGAATTACTGACAGACGTAGATAGAGGAGCGGATATGGCAGTCTGGCCAGGATGGCTGGGTCCATGATGTCGCCCGTGGCATCC